AAAGAAATAGGGTCTAATTTTAGGTAAATCACCAGAGAATTCCAACCTGTAGGATTGACAGCCCAGGCCCAGAACATGGGTTAAGAGAATGATGTGGTAAAATAATTTTAAAAAATGATTTAAAGTTGAAATATTAAAATATATATTTAAAGTTTACTTAGAATCCCTGTTTCAAAAGATGCATATACAACCGTTTACATTATTGTATCATTATCAAGAAAATTTCTTATCTATTAAGCTTAATAAGCTTTATTTGCTTTACTTGTAAAACAGTCCTATCATTTACAGTTCATGTTTGGTAAAATGATGGCTCAGAGGGGTTAAGTAACGTGACCAAGGTCACACTGGTAATTTATGGTATTACGATTTGAACATAAGCCAATCTGGCCCTAGACCTCTGCTTTTAACCAGCTTACTATCCTGCTCTGTTCACATCCTATTGCTCCCCACAAATAACACAACAAGAATGCAACAATAAGAGGCGTATTAAAATTAAGACATTTTCTGAAGAAAGTATGCTGAATTTTTTTTGCTTTAATTACATTGTCCTTCTATACATTATCCAATTAACCTTGGAATTGACCCATGTCAAAGGGCACTAGAAGCAACAGCCCAAGAAACGGGTAGCCATTCACAGTAAGAATTCGATTTGGGCAGACAGGATAGTGTCAACTTGATTTCCCTGAAGGAAATTCTCTGTCTGCCACAGGAGTGTCAGTGCCCATGAAATCGGGCACAGCCAGTTTGCCCACGTCAATGTGCACGTAATAGCTTCACTTCATCTCTGCTAATCCTACCTTTCCTATGTCTAGGTTTTCCCCTATCTGGGTTGCCGCACAAAGTTATTTTTATAACTTATATAGTGTTGACTGTATGAATTATTTTAAGCACTCAAACAAATATATGAACAGCCAACATTCATTCTGTTTTATTCATTCCTGTCCATAGAGCTTTTCCAGGAAAGAACGATGGGCTCTCCAAGGTACTCTTGATGGGCATTAATCTAATTAGGTGAGAGGTGATTGCACTTGCTTAACCTTAGCATCATGGTTATCTTCACCTGAGATGAATTTAAATTTTAACTGAAGTTTATGCGATGACCATCTGTCAAGTAGGACTGGGCAAAGAACCAAAGCTCACTTGCTAGAGGGCAGACGAGACAGCCCCGCAAGCTTTGTGCAGCACCACAAAGGGCCTGCTTGCTAGAATCAGCCTTGCCTCGGAGAACCTGCAATAGGCCCACCTTTTCCCCCCCGTCTTGATGCACATTGATATGAGTCCACCCAGACATTTGATGGTGCTCCTTGGCCACACAGAAGACATCAGCCAGTACAGGAATTACAGGCAGCCAGATCTTCCTTCCTCCTTTCAAGACAGGGAAGGGGCTGTTTGAAAATGTCAAACTACATCGAAACTCCAAGAAATAAATAATGTTTCAGAAGATCGATCACTGGGAAAGACTGGAGGTTTACAGTTACCTGTTTAATTTTTACCTGGAACATAAGCATATAGGGACATACCCTAGGAGCCCCCGTGGCACGGTGATTACGCACTGAGTTGCTCACCAGTCAGCAGTGCAGAACCCTCAGTCGATCCTGGGGTGCGGTGAGATTTCTACACCCCCACAAAGAGTCACCGTCGAGGACACCCACACGGGCAGTTCTACCCTGTCCCCTAGAACCGACTCACTGAAAGGCATTGAGGTTGTTTTCTAAAGTTTAGTTTATTATATTATTGATACCTATAGTTAATCTTTCTCCTTGATTTAGAGCAAAAGAATTTATTAAAATGTCTTCATGAGGAAAATACCAGAGCAACCGTCGCCACGGAAAGGCACGAAAGCAGTGGCTCATGATCATTGCTGACTGCTTAATCCATGGCACAGAGTCTCCAATTCCTCCAGGAAAAGAAAAGATAAAATGTACCTGTCGGCTTATGACTTCAGACTCCTTGAGTTAATTGCCTTCAGTTATTTCTTGAACAGTAAACCAAAATTAATCCTTGAGGTTACCTTGTAGCTAAATAACAAATTAGCTTAAGAAATCATAAATATGATTCATAAGAAGTATACTGCTTTTACAAAAAACCACTATGAAAGCAAATGGTCCACAATTAATTTTAAACAAAAATGAAAATATAACGGGGGTGGGGTGGGGTACTAGATTAATGGAAACGGTTCAACCAGAATTGGAAAAATGAAGATGTTCACACCTTATGAAGATTGTAGCCTTTGTCACTGAACACCTTGTGCAGAGTTCTGAATGGGAACTGGAACAGTTGTGTAAACCTGCACCAAAGGTATCACATGACTCATCTCTGATGCAGGTGTGCAGGGACAAAGAAGATACGTGGATCTGTGTCTAACTGCCGCCATGAAAGAAGAGCCAGGAGCAGCATGTGTCCTTTGGACCCAGAGATCCCTGTGACCTGAAGTTCTCTGATCCAAGAAGCATAAAGTTGAGACACCAGAGGTCCCAGAAACAAGAGCCATGGCACAAGAAAGAATCGTCAGCTTCGTGGATCAGGAAACAAAAGAAAAGGAGCGCCTTTAGTCAGGAAGCTTGCTTGCTGAGTGGGGTTCCTGCAGGCACACATTGAGGAAGCTCCGTTTGCTGAACCAAGAGCCAGAGCTGAGCACTCCAGGCTGTCTGGTGGTCCACCACTGGGGAATTTACTGGCAGCATTAAACGAGCTTTGTGATGATGTCCACTGGAACAGAAGCCAAGGGGTCACATGGCTGAGAAACCAACCACCAGGGAAATGTGTACCTGATGGCATGTCTGAGAAGAGGCTGCCCCGTCCAAAAGAACTACATTGTAAGCACTTCTGATCCTCAATCATGACCTGGCACGTTCTCGAATACATTCGGTCACTGTGATTTTAGTGAGGGACTTCTGTGTGGTCACTGCAGTGAATCGTTAATCCAGCAGAGAAGAGAGTGCTGTGGAAGGCCTGTGGTATCAGAATTCATATACAAAGCTGGGGTATGATATTGAACGTCAGCCGCATAAGAATTGACCTTTAAGTGGTGTTGAGTTTGGTACCCACAACTCACCCCTTTGAAGTCAGAGGAGATTCAGATGCCGTTTTCTCATCCCCTTTTTATGCAACCATTTCAACAAACATCCCTAAACATTATTTAAATTCTCCCTCCCTCCCCTGCATGCACTCCAGGGCAGGTCTCACGTATCTTATAACATAGCCTTTTAGCTGCTTCTTGCCTCGGCCTTCACCTTCCAGGATCTACTCTCACACGGCTGTCAGGAGTGATCATCTTCCAATGGAAGTCAGATCGTGAAGTGCTCTGCTGAAAACATCCCCACGTGTTCCTATTGCGTATGAAAAGTCGGAGATGCTACAACGCCCCCACGGTCCTACTCATCTGCAGCTGTCTGCACTCGCACTCGCCCTCTTCTAGGAATCTCCCCTCAGTCCTGTGTTCCAGCCACGCCAGCCCCTGGGCGCATCCTGGTACCAGTCAGCGTACTCCTGCTTCGTGCCATTTGTCCTTGCAACATACCTCTTCTTCCAATTTACTTTACCAACTTCTTCCAGACACCTTCCCAGGCTGCCTTCCCTGAGTGCTATATAACTTCCTTCCTGACTTATTTCTCGTCCTGGTCCTTGCCATTTTTTCCATACCGGATCATTATTTATTATATTCCGAGTCTGCCTTTCCTCGCCAGATCATATATCCACGAGGGTGAAGACAAAATATATTTTGTTCCTGCCTGCAACCCAGATACCTCTGATGCCCCTACAACAGAGTAAATGCTTGTTGAATCAATGCATTTTTAAAAATTATGAAAGATGGCAAGAGAAGGGAGAAATTATTTAACTGGAACATTTGTGGGGGGCAAGGAAATCAAAGCCTTTTAAATCTAGTGCAGCTAGAGTATAGAAATCCTTAGAGGTTGGAGCTGAAAACATACATTGGGTATGCAAAATCATAACATATTGTGTATGACATTTTAAGGGATTTGACTGTCTCACAAACCACTTTAAAATTCTGTGATGCGACAGAAGTGACACGAGACCCCCGATTTCAGAAGACTGCAGCCGTGGGAACACGGAGGATAGCTAGGGAAGGGGAAGACTACCGCCATCGAGATGTGTTAGAAGGACGTCCGGTGGCTCCAGGAGGGAAGAAGGGAGACAGGAGCAGAGAATCAGAAGCATCAGTGATTGGATCAACAGGACGCAATGACAGCTCAGCTGTCAGGGATGGTGGCATTCTTTCCAAAATGGCATGGAACAAAATGCAGGCGTAAGGGGCTTGGATGATGTCATACCACGGACTGCAGTGAGCTCCCACGTGAGGACATTTTTCAGTGCGGGACCCTAAGACAGATTGTGGCAACCTTTATTAAGAAAATATTTCTGCAGGAAGAACTGAGGGCTGCATCTCCCTCCTGGGGAGAAAACACACATTCCCATATGAAAGTATCTGAGAAGTTTCATAATAAAGATACTTCTTTCTAGCATGTCCTACATTTAATTGATTCTGGAACCCTATTCTGTGAGTCACGTTCTAACTACTCTCTGAACTTAATTATCTTTGAAATGGTACAGTTTCGAAAATAGTGGTGCATGCCATTGCATTAGAACGCTTCAAAAACATAAATAGGAAACCTTTGTCTGGGTAATCTCTATTTCTAATAGCAAACCAAGCAGACGGTGTCTTAACAAATTGGCAGAACAGAGTCATTTAGGGAATGTACTGGTTTTCCCAGAGCCTATTAAAAAAAGTCAAATTATTTTGAAAGTAGCACTCTTTTTTTCTCTTTCTTTTCATGTCCCTACAGGAAAAATAATTAGTTCGTTGCAACAGGAAAGAACATGCTATTCTGGTCACTTAAGAAGAAAGTGTGGATCAAAAAGTAGAACCCAGGAGCAAGTTTTGAACAGGATCTTTAGCCAAGGTTCTTGGATGAGAGGTCAGTCATAGTCTAATTTTCCACCAGCTTCTGAGTCCCAGGTGTCAGTGTGCAAAGACTTACAGGCGATGCGCACATAGGCCTTCCGGCTCTTCGTGGTGCCTGCCGAGCTCCAGGCCACACACTGGCACCAATAATCTTCAGGCCCAAAGAGTTCTTCCACTTGCTGGCGTGAGATCTCAATGCTCACTTCTCGGACAATGAGACCTAAGGTGACAGGAAATTTCAGGTCAGGAGAAGACAAACATTACAGAATTACAAAACATCAGAATATAAAGGTGTGTGTATTTTTTATGCCCCATGATCTTTCTTGGAGCCATTCTGTCAACAACCAATAGTGCCTCTTACCTACTCTAATTTTCTTCTGGCTCCACTTATTGTACTCACTCTTGTTCTCATCTTCTTGCTTGGATCCACAATCCATGCTGGTGGAAGCAGCAGTCAATGGATCAAATTACGCACTGCACTGGCTAAGTCATACCCAAACTGTTTAAAGTTTTGAAAAGCATGATGTTGCATGGAGGAATAGGTGTGTGCGTACAAATCTCTGGTGGTACAGTGGGCTATTGGAGACTGAGAAACCAAGGGAAGAAACTGATTCAATGGTGGGATGAGATCAAGCTAGACCCCACCAAAGGTCGAGGTCACATGCAGCCTTGAAAACCAGTCCTCTCGAAGTGCAACATTAGATAGTTTCATCAATATTAACTAGGAAGCTATTGAAAATATGAATCTCGGGACCCAACCCAAACTCACTTTCTTGCCATATTTTATCATAGGTGACATGAGTAGTGGTGGCTTCACGAGATTCTAATAATGCTAATTAAAAAAAGCAACATTTGAAAACTTAACCAGAAACCTAAGAAATGTTCAAACTTAAAAGAGCACTAAGGGAAAGGATCAATGTCCCAATAGATGTGCTCGTATGTGCTATCCTACTGAGGGAATAAGCAGTATTTCCTATGGAGC